CACAGGTTTCAAATGTTTGCATCTCCAAGACATTACGAATACTGCACTTGGTTTTATCTCCATCCCTTTTGTCACTTCATATTACACCAAACCTCTTCTCTTTACGTGAGGCTGGAATTTTCTCAGCAAGGACAAGCGGATTCATTTCCACTCCAATGAGTTCATCCCCAGTCAGCCAATCCACATGAACAGGATGCTTATATTTTCCTTGATTGCAACATCTCGCCTCGAGGACCGACACAACAATGCCAAAGGCATTTTCATACAGTTATGACATATTCATTCAATACTCTACAGCACTGTATCTAAACATCATATCTATAACACTCTCCAATACTTAAACTAAATATTATATCTATTACATGTCCATACCTTACTCTACGGTACTTAAATCGATGTCATTTAATCGAGGTTGTAAATAACCAGCAAGTACTGCGTATTTCAGGAAATGATCCGACATTTTCAAACCAGATTGTTTAGAGTATCTGTCCTGATATATCGAACATTTGGCTATGCTTTGCTTGCTAGCTGACCAAAAATTCCTTCGAAAGGCTAATATGAACTGCTCATAATTGCTTATGGTCGGGGATACAGTCGCTATCCACTCCACAGCTAAAGGATCAGTAACAGAGCGCAATGCAATTGCAAGGTGGAATGGGGGTGGTACAGCCTTTAAGCGGAAATAATCATCCAATTGTCTCAGGTGGGCAATCGGATTAACCTTTTCACTGTCATGAAAGTGAGGAAGGGTTAAGTCCGACGGAGCTATAAACTGACATAGATTATAAACTTGAGATGGCGGTACGTTTACAGTCGATCCACGAGAAACATAGCTATTACATGGCGCTGGGTGGTCGCAACTCAGTCCATTTCCATCGCCACCAGCTACTCCATCAATTACATTATTACTAACTTCGTTATTGCTATCATTATTACCGTTATTCTTGGCACGGTCACAAGCTGACAGACTCAAAACTTGGCTTCCATCAGTGGATTGTAATGACCTGGCCTCACAATTTACTGATGGACTTTCTGATAACCTCCCTTTTAAATCATTTAATTCAACAGTCATGCGTTCAAACTTTTCCCGACTTGATTTTGATTGACTTTATTTCATGACTGACTTGACGCTTTGCTTCACTCTGCCAAGATGTCACCTCATTCCTTAAACTAGTTCTTACTCCAGTAATGTTATCTTCTATGGCATTCATCCTCTCATCAGAGCTTTCCTTATTGGCTACAATTTGACACACCATTTCATCTAATTTGTGGTCCACGTCTCCGACCATATCTCTGATAACTCCCTTGGTATCATCAACTATCCGGTCAACTTTTCCTTCCACCTGCTTTGTTAGGTTATTAAACTGGCATTTCATACCCGCTAATTCCTTGTTTGAGTCGGATTTTACTTGTTCTACCGCCCTGTATAATTTAGTACTCTCCTGTTCAAATTTCTGAGTCAGTTCTTCAT